ATGTACTTAAGTGTGAAGATGACTAAAATCTGTGGAGATAACGAATTTTAACATGTCATGTGCATTGGAAACCCCTGAGGCAACATTGGAAGGTTTAGATTGTCTTTTGTTTGTTTTGTTTCGTTTCGTTTTGTTTAGTTTGTTTGTTTTGCTCGAGGACTAGCAAAAGCTAAGTGTGGGGGAATTTGATAGGAGCATATTTAGGCGACTTACTTAGCTTGTTTTCGTGCATTTATGTTGTTAATTCATAGTTGTTTTAGTAGTTTAAGCTATTTTCGTTTGTTTTTAGGTCCTCATGGCAAAGGGAGCAAGAAAGTGCATTTTGAGGCTATTTGGAGCATTTTTGGGCATGGATTGGATAGCTTAATCATGGAGCAAAGAGGATGGACGAAATTGAAGCCTTGTATGCTCTTTGGGACATAAAACAAAGGGCCTAGCCTAATCAAACAAATCCTTTGAGCCATGGAAAACCTCTAGCCCAATCAAACAATCCATCAAAGCCATGCAAAACCACCAACACATGCACTCACATGCATTCACATGCATTTCAAGCACCAAACATTCTCCCTTGCCGTGCACCCCTTATGCCATTTTCAGATTTCCACCAACTAACCTAGTTGTCACTCACATGCATTCATCATAATTCACCCTAGCTACCACCAATTCAACACATGCATTCACACACCAACAACATCACCCTTTGCCGTGCATTTCATACCCTTTCCAGCATTCCATTTCATCATTGCACCACCAATTCAACACATGCACCCATCACCTAACACAAATCCTCTAATCCGTGCATTCCCCTTGCATTTCCAGGTTGTCCACTTCATCATTGCAGCCACATATTCACCCACATGCACTTTAATCATTCAACCATGCAGCCACACATTCATTCTCCAACCTTGCCGTGCACTCCCATTGCATTTCCAGCCATTCCACATGCATTTCCAACCTAGCAACATCCCTTTAATCATTCAGCCACTATCATACACTTATTCCTCCATCATTGCACCACAATCCCAACCATGCCATGCATAACACACCAACAACAAATCCCATTCATTAAGCCGTGCAAAACAACCCATTCCAGCAGCCAAATCCCTTTGTGCCGTGGCATCCCATCCCATTTCCAGATTTCCACCAACAACCTAGCTGTTTTTCCATTCTCTCCCATTCTTTAAATCAGCCACATGCACATTCACCCCTTTTTCTCCCTATAAAACCATGCAATGCATTCATACAATTCATTGACTCCCTACTCCATCTCATTTTCATACACAACACCACAAACACACCATCACACAAGTGATGCCGTGAGTCTCCCTTACAATCCAAACACCATCCTTCCATTTCCACCACTCCCCAAACCATTCACACCATCAAACTATCCTTAGACCTTGTGCCACAATAAAGAGGAAGAGAAGAGGGCCTAAACGTTCATACAATTCAAGTTTGAGTTGTTGGAATGTTTAGGTGTTTCTTTGATTTCAATGTTTAATTTCAATTCTCTTTGTTTTGTACGTATGAGGAACTAAACCCCCCTTGGCTAGGGGGGATTCGAAATATATGTTTATGCTTGCAATATGATTTGATTACTTCTAATTACGTTTCATAAGTTGTGAATTCAATTTGTTTAACTGTTTGATTGATAACCTATTTATGTATGTTTATTGAGAGTGCACGCTTAATTTTCATGCATGAATATGACGCTAGAATATAAGTGAGTTTCACCTAATAGTTATGAACTTATATTCACAAGTAGTGGAGGTTGCTTATAAACAATTGCGTTAAATAAATTCTTGGCATAAGTTTCATGCAATCATAGTAACGAATGCCTCGTCAACACTTATAGTTTTCAAAGAACTTAATGATTCTTGCTTGTATCTCTATTATGCAATTCATGTAGGGAACTTGTGGAGAATGCTTTGGGTTGTCGTATGTAATCATCCAATTCATTAACTTAAGGAAAACTTGACGGTTAATTTAAGGGGACCTAATTAACCCGGGGTGTTGAGAATTCATGGTTTATTGAAAAGCAATTAGAAATCATTTTGTATGCAAGTATAACATGTGTGGAGATGAACCCCTTAGCTAGCTTCCCATCCATTCATTTCCGTCAAATTCGTATTTACAATTTGTTTTCTTTACATTCTATCCATTTTAGTTTAAATTCGTCCAAACCTCAATCCCCCCCCCCCCCATATTTGTTTAGTCTTAGTCTTAATCTATCTTATTTTGAGTTTTGCATTCTTTGAGTCTAGTATAGTGTTTTAAACTTGTTTTTACGTTTTTAAGTCAAATCCAAGTGATTAACAATCCTTCCTAATCCCCGGTCCAGAACGATCCCTACTTACATACTTACTACAATTGACAAAAAGAGGGTTTAATTTGTGTGCGTATAATCATCGCATCAGGCGATGTTCGTTTGGTACGCTGATCCTTGAAGGCACGTTCACAACAGATATATGTGATCTTATACTTTTGCTAGATCGGTAAAAGCATCTAGCATGCTTTGAACAATGTTCTATAGACCTAGATTACGCATGTTAGTTTCAAACTGGGTAATGCAGAGATCTAAATGAGACATAATGGTCGTAATCCATCACAATTCGTGGTGCTTTTCTAGAATTTTAGCATTCTTATCTCCACCTAATGATAGAAAAACTGTTTCATCAAAGTGACAATCCGCAAAACGTGTGGTAAAGAGATCGCCTGTCAAGGGCTTTAAGTAGCTAATAGTGGATGACGAATCATAACTAGCATAGATTCCTATTTTTCTCCAAGGATCCATTTTGGTATGCAGTGGTGGCTACATTGCTACATAGACTGCACACCAAACACACACAAGTGCAAAACGTCAAACTCGTACCTAATAACGAACTGTAGCGGTGAATGAGATTAGGTAGTAGTGGACCTTAAGTGGACTAATATGGTTACATGCAATATTGCATAGCCCCAACTAGACAGCTTGGTTCGCATAACCAAGGTCCGAGCTATCACTAGAAAGAGCTTTATAAAAACTTATCCCATGTTGTTTTGGGTATGAACATGGTAGGATGTTCAACTTCAACCCCAACAGTGCAATAATCATTGAAAGATTGCGATGTAATCTTTCCCACATTATCCAATCGAATGGACTTAATTGAATAATTATGGTGGTGAGCCATAAGCTTAATGATTTGAGTTAGGAGTTTCACAGAAGCAAAATTGCCCGTAGACAATAAATAGACATGAGACCAATCTGTTGATGAATCAATGAACACCATAAAGCATTTGAATGGTCCGAATGTTGGTTGAATAGGTCCACAAATATCCCATTGAATCTTCTGAAGAAACTTTAAGGGTCGTGAATAATCTTTGTAGTTGAGGGTTGAGGAATAAACTTCCCCAAGATACATGCTTTGCAAGACAAGTTTCCAGGATAAAGCGTTCTAGGACTTGAAGAAATACTTGACGTTACCTCTTTTACCATCCAAGCTAGAGGCATAGGAGAATTTGTGCATCTATCTAGCTGTATTCAAAATAACAGTGATCTTTGTCCTCATATGAGAAAAGTTGGGGGCTCAACTAGCTGTATTCTACACTTCTAAAGCTCCCTTCGATGTTGACCTATTTACCAAATTATTGCCTAAGAGCTCATTTCAGAAGCACGTTAGAGGTATTGGTTGTTGGATAAATAGGGTCTAATTGCTGTATTAATTCACATAGAAAATTAAGAAATAATTCATGCAATTATATATCAAAATTAATGAATGCACATGAGTAACCAATGTTAAATGAACATGATATAATGGATTAGAAAAACCTGAAAATTCGGTTGAGACAAGTGTTAGACACTATGTTCTTAAGACAAGTTTACGCCCCACTACGGTGCTCATGGTTGATCAGCGCTTGTCTCTCAAGATACAACGACCACGTTCTTCAAATCACAAGGCTCCATGAATTACGATTGTGTTGAAAAACTCTCTCATATGGACTTAAAGAGACTCTCTAATATTTAGTGCACTCTATGTATGATTTTGTAAAACAATGAAAATTTATTTATGATTATAAGGGGCTTTCCTATTTATAGAACTAGAGATACCTCTTTGGAATGCATGTGACTATTCATGAAGAATCAAAAGTTGCAACTCTTTATTTGAATAGACACATCTATCTACCAAAAGCCTCCACTTCTAATTTCCATTCAATTAATAAATTTAATATAATAATAATAATAATAATAATAATAATAATAATTTAAATATTCCAACAATGGGTTACGCAGCCTTTTAAAGCTAGCGTAAGGCATCTTGATGATGCCGATGTTCAAGGAAGCATCCAGTCATGTGCTAGTTAGGGGAAAGGCATCTCGAAGATGCCAACGCTTTGGCCCGTGTACTTTTTTTGCCTCAGTTAAGTTTTTTATCCCACTGACTTTTGCTTAGAAAGCTTTTTAATGAGACACCAATTATGGTACGGTCATCCGTCACTTGAGCCATGCCTGAAGTCATGGAAATCTTCTTAAGGAGTTTTGACGTTCTACCCACGGCGATTACCGATTTTTCTAGGTCATCCATGTAAATAGCATACCTTTATTTTTGAGAGAGACAAAGACGAGACATTGACATGGAGTCCTAGTGATTACCTAACTGAGCAATTTGTGAAAATCCAAAGAAGAATGGTACAGGAAATTTTATGTCCGTCCTCCAATTGATGTAGCTGTTGTAACCACCAGGCTATTAATTCCTCAAATAACTATTCATTTCTCAAGTAAATGTTATAATCCATTGTGTGGCTTAGCCGAACTCTCCCTTCCCATAGTATAAAAATATCGATATACTAAAAAAAAAAAAAAAAAGGTAAATGTTATAACCATTAAGTCATTGATTCATCAAATAAATTGCTCATTCATTCCTCAATTGATTGTAACACTTGATTCTCTTTATTAAATTAGTCACGTCACTATATAAAAATGACTAATGCTTCACATTAAAACATACTACAAAAAAATAAAAATAAAATTTCAAATAGAATTATCTCATTCTCTCTCAAATTAATTCCTCCATCATTTTTTTTTTCTTTTTATTTGTTCAATAATCAATATTAAAGACTTCCCAACCAGATCGCATCATCAAGTCTGTAGATAACATAATTAAATTATTTTAATTTCCGAAAAGTCAGATTCCCATTTGGTTTGGCTTCCTCCCACTCGGCGATTCCATTTATTTCTACAATTAATCATTAATTTAATAAAATCTCAGATGGCGTTGAAACTCGCCAAGCCATACAGATACAGTCGCCACCCTTTTTCTCTTCCCGGTACAATTGACCTTACTTCCCGGTCCAGTTGATTTATCATTTGGTTGTTCTCGTTTCTGACTCCAGAAAGAAACTCCGTTCGAAACGTTTCAGAGCTCAGGGCGGTCTCGTTTTGTTTCCGACTTACAAAGAGGAAGAAGAGCACAGAAGCAGCAGCAATGGCGCCCAAGAAGCGGCAGCTGCCAGGCGTCGACGAGAAACTGCAGAAGCTTCTGGATGCAAACATGGATGAAGCTCCCGCCAGAAGGCGCGCTCGTGAGGCCTTCAAGGAAATTCAGCTTGGGATTGACCACATTCTGTTCAAGGTATTTTGTTTGGCTGTTTTTCTCTCTGTTTACTTATGGTATTGGTAAAGTGGACTTTTTATTCATTATTTTTTGTGGGGTTGTTTTATTTAGATTGAGTTGTAGGTGGCCAAGTTCGCTAGTGGAGTTTGTTCGGCCTGCGTCTAAGTTTAAATCTTGCTAAGTAATTTAGATTAGATTAGAATATAGCTCGAAAATTTCGTGCACGTTGTAATTTGTGAGAGTGTAATTGGGTTTTGTAGTGGGTTGGTGATGATTGACACGGAAAATTGTAAATGGGTCAATGAGAATGAGTGGTTGGGAGGAATGGATGCACTATTTTTCAAAGTAAATTATTATTATTATTATTTTTTTTTTAACATTGAAATTATTATTGCTGCTCAAAAAAATTGTCCCTGAGTTTGTTTTCGGTTCAGTCTTGCAGTCCACACACGGCCGCACGAACCGCTACTGAAACTTGCTATTTATACTATTTTGCTTTGATTTTTTCGGTCGTGTTTCTTAAATGGTAGTTTGAGTTCAGGATGTTACGTAATTGTTAAGGGGTTGCAGACATTTTTTAATTTTAGTAATGTTTATTGTTTTATTTTTTGGTTAATTTGCAGACACCAACTGATGGATTGAAAATGGAGGAGGTAATAACTCTTTTACGATGGTAATCAACTTACATTGTCGTACTTATGTCATTTCAAGTTTCTCCGCTTACCTATAATTAAGTTAAGCGATCATGTAAAATGCTAGGATACGTTATTCATAAGCATTGGGCCCCTGTTTTAGATTTCCAAAGTTTCTGCAGTCTATTTTTCGTTTGAAGATGATCACAGCAAATTCTATTGTGTAGTCATATGAGGTGAACTCTAGGGGACTGGAGATCTTCTCCAAGAGTTGGCTTCCAGCGACATCTCGTCCCAAAGCAATAGTGTGTTACTGTCATGGCTACGGAGATACTTGCACTTTTTTCTTTGAAGGCATGTAACCTGTGATGAGAGTATTTGCTGACCAAATTTCTGCGTTTGACATGCTCCTTTGTGGAACCTAATCATTTCATGATATCTACAGGAATTGCAAGGAAGCTGGCATCAAATGGGTACGGAGTTTTTGCAATGGATTACCCTGGCTTTGGTCTCTCCGAAGGTCTTCATTGCCATATTCCCAGCTTTGACAGACTTGTAGATGATGTCATTGAGCTTTACTCCAAAGTCAAAGGTATGCTAAATATATATTAACCTTCCTGTTAGAACTTTCTAATGTGAGTCAGTGAGAAGTATGGACCTGGAAATCTGAGTGTCAAATGAACTCTAATGGGGTGTTTGGATGACGGATTTCCAAGTACCAAGGGATTAGGATACATTGGTATGAAATGCACTAGAAAATATTAGGTAGAGGGATTGAAACTGCTCTAAATATGAAAAGTGATGAAAAGTGATGTCAAAAACCAAATTAGCAGATGAAAAGTGATGTCAAAAACCAAATTCAGGGAAAGTTTTATTCATGACGTAATTTAGCTCTTCTCAGCTACTTATTCTTTTGTACTTTGCATCTGAAATAGAGAATTAAACTCCTTGGTTGCAGGGCCGGCCCTGAGGGAGTGTAGTGGTGCACCCCACAGGGCCCTAATTTTTAAAGGCCCCCAAGTGTATATATACTATATATAAATATGCGTATATATATATTTTTGTACAGCAAGAAAATAGGATATGCAATTAGCACAAGTGGTACTCGCTGTGCAACATTTGCTCTATGGTACAAGATGAAAAATAATAATAAAAAAAAAACACCCAAAAAATTCAAAACTAGGTGCTCTTTGATGCAGGAAATGCATATCCACCTACCACATGATAATATGTTTTTTAAATTTATGAGCTGAAACTATTTTATAGGAAAAACAAAAAAAATAATTTGTAACTTCTTTTCATGGTTCTTAGTGAGAGTTTCAGTTAAAATTTCGCATAAGGCCCTCAAAATTTCAGGGCCGGCCCTGCTTGGCTGATGATAGATCTTTTTTTTTTTTTTTTTTTTTTTTTTTACCCCATGGAACAATCAAGTGATAGACTAAAGGATATGTCTGGTCTGTCTGTTCTGTGAACAAGAAAATAGACAAAACGCCATCTTCATTTCAATTGTTAATATTTACAAACTTTGGTTTGGAGCGCAGAGCAGCCTGAGTTACGTACACTCCCGACCTTTCTCTTTGGACAGTCCTTGGGTGGAGCTGTAGCACTGAAAGCTCACCTAAAACAACCTAGCGCATGGAATGGCGCAATACTAGTAGCACCAATGTGCAAGGTAAATTCCATAACTTTTATTGTGTTAGCATTAGGAAGAAGGTTTTTCTTTAATTTTCACCTTCGTTCACTTAAAAGGTGTAAATTTGTTTTTATTTTTATTTTTTTGTAGATTGCAGATGACATGGTTCCACCGTGGCTACTAACACAAATCCTGATTGGTGTGGCCAAGTTCCTTCCAAAGCAAAAATTGGTTCCTCAAAAGAATCTGGCTGAGGCAGCATTTAGAGACTTGAAGAAAAGAGAAATGGTTAGTCTCTTTTCTTTGATGAATAGTTTCAAGTAGTGAAAACATGGAGGGTCTTATGTTCATAAGATGGGTGGTAATGCTATTTTACTAGCTTTCTCAAGTTGTTCTAATTAGTTATCCATGCCATGATTTGATGGCGTCATTTCTTTTTAATCTTCTTACGGAAGTTGTGGCTGATAATTTGTTCATTTTCCTGAATGCAGACAGCCTATAATGTTATTGCTTACAAGGATAAACCACGCCTGGAAACTGCTCTAGAAATGCTCCGAACTACTGAAGAGATAGAACACCAATTGGAAGAAGTATGCCAATCCATGACTCCTTTTTTATTACAGTTAATTTCTAAACCAATTGAACCACCATTTTAGTTTCCTTTGATTGCATCAAGTTCTATCCAGTTTGTTCAGTGTGAACCTTTTCCCTTAATATGTAACGCTTGTTGCTGCATATTCCGTAATCTCTTCTTTGTTCTTTCTGGTGGTTAACAGTTCTGGTGTCTACATAACTAGGTGGTAATTCTTATTAAGTTTAACCCACAGATGTTTGATTGCATCTGAAGTAACTTTAACCCATTAAAGTTTGTCTGGATTACAAATCCAAAAGGGAAATAAATACGACTTTAATATTTACATATATAACCTAATGCTCTTTTAGATTATGATGTGTGATATGAAGTTGCAGTAGCACAGGACAAATACACCACATTTCCATGGACCATTGATGATGTGTTTTCTTAGAAACCATTTTTCTGATCGAGTTTGACATGATGCTATTTGGTTTAGCTTCTGCTTATTGAGGTTCAGGTTGGGCTTCATTTCTTTTAGACCAATGAAGATCAGTGGTATTGCACTCAGATCCAACCTGAGTCTTGCTTGCAGACCCCTATTTGACTCTAGAACCAAGATGTACTAATTAGGACCTTCACAGCCAGTAAACCTATGTTAGGTATCTTTCTGTCAACAAAACCCTACACATCATTTCTGAAATTTCCACTAGATTCAATATATGTTAGTTGAACGCAAAACTGTCCGAAAAGTTTGTAAAATTGTTGAAACAGAATCTAACAGGTCGTGGTAGTTTCTTATTCTTTGGGGACAGTGCAGGGGACTGGACAACCGGTGTTAGTTGGCTCTGTCTTTTCAACAAATACATGATTTATTTCGAATTTTAGATACTATGTTTTATGGTTTACCCGAAAAGTTCAGTGTATTTCAGTATAATTTAGCAGCAGTAGCATATAGAATTCTAAATTTATTAGGTCACTTTTAATAAATTTCATTACAGGTCTCTCTTCCATTATTAATCCTGCATGGAGAGGCTGACATTGTAACTGATCCATCTGTAAGTAAGGTCCTGCACGAAAAGGCAAGCAGTTCCGACAAGAAGCTCATCCTTTACATGGATGCATATCATTCCCTTTTGGAGGGTGAGCCAGATGAAATGATAATTCGAGTTTTTAGCGACATCATTTCATGGCTTAATGAGCACAGCGAAAAACTAACAGGCAGCTAACTTCTCCGTGCGCATTTGAGGGCACCCGCATTCATGTTCTTGACGTGTATTTGAGTGAAAGGGTAGGGAAGGGGAAGAATAAGAAGCACTGGATGAGTGTATTGTGAATGTACTGATTTTTTGCTGAATAACCTTGGATTATTGTATTATTTATGGCACACAATTCAAATAAATTGTGTCTATTTCTCCATTTTCCTAAGGGAGGCTGGAGCTTTTGTAATTTTTTCCCTCATGCTTGGTGAATAAAATTTTAACTTCTTGTAGAAGTTATTATAGTTAGTTAATTTACTGTTTGATTTAATTAGTATTTATTTAATTAAAACTGGAATTTGATTTTATCAGAACCTGTATTGGATTGTAGCCTTGAGGAATGGAGGACCAGTTCTTTGCTAGAAGAGTGAATGTTATCCATCCATTTGAAAAAAAAATACATATATGAATTGTCATTTTCTTCTTTTGTCCACTTAGAAAGGTACAAACAAATGCAGTCCAAGTGGGCTGTGGGGAATGTGGCTTTCTTACCCAGAAATGTGTTACACAACGACACCGCTGTATTCCAAACCAATAACGAGCTACCATATGTTTGATTTTTTTATGTGGCAGTGAATAATTAGTTTGGAATATTGTAGATGCAAATTTCTGCCATCTACAGTCCGGACGAAAATGCACCTACAAAACAATCAATACCTTTTATCAAAGACCTAAGCCTCACGCGCCCATGAGGGTCGGTTTTGGGGGGGGGGGGGGGTTAAGTCAACGGATCTCCGATGCCTAAGTTAGTTTTTTTGAGAGAGTAAAGTGTTTAAGACTTTTTAGGGTTGCAAAAGCCCCTTCAATTTGGTAGAATGTGGGGTATTTATAGGGTTAGGGTCGGCCATAGTAGGTTTAATGGAGACATATTCTCTAAATATTCTCAAGATATTTAATAGGAGATAATAGGGTAATAATCCTTAATTGAATTAAATTAGGATTACTTACTTGATTGGAGTCAATCTTCAATTAGGAATGTATTAAAGATAGGATTTGGATAATTAATCCTTATCTGTAATTCCTTGCCAAGGGCAGGTGAGCTGTGGGCAGTTGTGTTCAGCTGCTGAATCTTTCAGGGATGTGAGCTGCGCGTGGGTGCATCTGAGAAGCCTGCCCATTTATTGAGGGCAATCTTGTCCTTCTTGAATAAAAGTCTACATGTCGCCTCTAGAATTTTTTGGGATCATTTTAGGCTCCACAAATGCCCCCACACCTACTGTCTACTCACATGGAAAAGGTAGTAGGTGTAGAAATCCCAAGCTGCTTGATTTGTAGAGTTGTTACCCAATTCGAACTTGATATTCTTCTTTGATTTGGAGATAGACTTCTTCTACGAAAAGGAAAATAATTGCCCCCAATACCTATTTAATTCTGCCTTAAGCAGGGGATTAAATAAATTTGGAGAACAATCATTATTCCAACAAGAAAGAGAAGCCAGAGGATATTTTTTCTTCCCTTTCCCCTAGCGTTCTTCTTTTCTTGCCCTTGCAAAGAGTTGTTTCTCGTTGTTCTTCTTCTTTTCCATGCCACACCAAGGTAAGAAAAATTTGAATTTTTTCTTCTTCTTGAATTTTTAGGAGCCTTGGGGCTTGAAAAATTGGCTTGGTGGGTGCCAAGGATGCATGAATGGTGTGGCATGGAAGCCACGAGCTGCAGGTGGTGCGGCAAGGGTGTTGGCTGGCGTGGGGAGATTGGCTTGGGCTGGGTCTCCATGGCTACTGTGCTGGTGCCCGGGCAATAGGAAAAGAAGGAGAGGGACCGGTGTGGGCCGACCCTTCTGTGCGTAGGACCTGGGCTGTGAGGCCTCGGTTTTCTTCTTGGGGCACCTTGCGCGTGGAGGAGAGGAGAAGAAGGAGGCGCGGGCCTCCCTTCCTGTTGGGCCACATCTGTGCTGCTTTTCTTAGGCATATTTTTTTCTTCGTGCTTTTTTGAAAAACTCTGAGATGTCTTCCTCCGACCACAAAAGTGATGAATATCCTCCACCTTTGTATCGTCAAGGTGGTTCTTTCAGCAAGGTGGGTTACTTTAAGGCTACGCATGTCAAGATTAATTTCGACGAGCTGTTTCGGGATTTTCTTAAGGCGTACAAGCATGTGATTTCATCTTGGGTTCGCATCAAGTGGGTGAAGGATGATAGTGGCCATGAACCATGTAGAGAGGGTGCCTCTGCTAGGAAGAGAGCTATCAAATTCCATCTATGTTACTTTGTGTTGGGATTTACTTTTCCCATGATGCGTCTTTTCCAGGAGTTGATTTGCTCCATGAAATGCACGCCCGCTCAGTGCTCCCCAAATGCAGTTCGTGCGATGGTGGGATTCTAGAATTTGAGTAGGTTCTTTGAGCTTGGCTTGACCATAAATGAGTTTTGGTACTTCTTTGAGATCAGCCACAAAGAGGACGTGGGGCAGCTGAGATCTCACCATAGGCTGTTCGATGTGTTTAGCAAAGGTGACCATGAGTGGGCGAGAGATACCTTAGAGGTGAGTGGAGAGTGGAAGTTTGACTCTTCTCCTAAGCTGCGCATCCCAAATACCTTTATCAATGGTAAGTGAACTACTTCATTCATGTCCTGCTTGAATTTTCGTTGAGCTGCTCCATCACTTCAATTTATTGATATTTTTTACTTTGTGTAGATTCGGAGTTTGGGTCAACTCCAAAGACTTCGGCAGATATGAAGAAAGTGAACGTTGCCTTGGGTATTCCAGTTGAGTATCGTGAGTGGCGCTAGCTGCTTAGACCTTTTCGTCGGGAGAAAGGTGGCCTGCCCCCGAGGGATGAGATAAAGCGGATAAAGGATGAGGCGTTGGCTCGCCCGATCGCTACTGTAGAGCTTATTGCCAATAGTGGTGGAAAGAAGAGGTTTTCCTTACCTGCTTGTGAGCCTTCGGTTGAGAAGAAGCCAATGACTTTTTCTGCTACTCGTGGGAGCTCATCTGCTGCCGAGAAGCTTGTCATTGATCTAACTTCCCCTAAGGGGTGGAAGATGACCGTTGAGCCCGAGCCTATGAAACCTGCTGCTCCGAAAGTAACCGCATCCTTTGTTGAGAGACTTGCCCAGCGGAAGAGTTCGGCGGTGCCTCTAGTGTTCGGGTTTGTATTGAAGTGTCCGTCGGGAGCTAAGTCTAGCTCCGCTTTTAAGAGGCTCACCACTATGAAGAGCAGGAAAATGGATTATGCTGCTAATGTGGCATCTGGGCCTGCTCCTCCTTCTGCCGTGACTGATTCGTCTACTAAGAAGGGGAAATCTGCTCACACAGGCAGTTGTGAGAGATCCACTAAGTCTGAGGTTGGAGAGTTTCCAGAAGTTTGTATGCTGCTAAAAGCTGACTTACTTGAGGACGTTGATGCATGCGCCAAGTTTGTTGATAGTGTTAGGAAAGTTGTCGTCCGTTCAGACTCTTTTGCAAAGCGTCCCACCTACTTAAGGAGGTCCTCCCTAATTGCTACAATGCATAAGCACGATCTATGCTATATTCTTGTACAATATACAACTGAAATTAAAGAAAAGGATAAATTACACACAACTACCTTAACTATGGATTGCATCACAATCTCATACCTTCTATTTTAAACATTGCAATGACATACCTTAATTTATAAATTTGTTGCGTCATACCTTGATTAATTAATCTGTCAAATTGATTGTTGAGTGATGACGTGGCAATGCAGGGCCCATATTTTTGCTGACGTGGTAGTCAACTTGTGTCTATGGTCATACAACTAATAATAATTATTAAAATTATTTTAGGTTTTTATTAACACCCCATATTTTGTTGATTATACCCCACATAATAATTTAATATTAAATTGCTCATAAAATGACTATTTAAGCCCTAAAATGTTCTACAAATTAAAAAGAAGATTCTAAATACACCCCAAGTTCTTTCTTTGAGTCATGCCTAAAATTTACTTCTACGCTCTCACATAAGCAATATGACTATCTTTCCAGAAAAGAATGAACAAGCTTTCCGTAAAAGTTTGACAACTCAATGTGAAACTCCATCACTTCAATATATTTACATACAATTGCAAGACTTAAACCATTTTGCCCTCAAGTCTGTTTGGGTGAGGCTTGTGTCCTTTTGCCTTTGCTTTAATGAAAAGCAATTTCGACTGAAAAAAAGATTGAAGAATTATATAGGTTACTGATATGAAAATTGAAAAGAAAACTAGAGGAAACAAGTTTGTGAAGACAAATATGCGGGTTTGATGTGGGGTGTATGTGAAGAGTTTAGGGTGTAAAGGTAGCTTGGGAAAGAATGTGGGGTGTATTGAGATATTTTTTAATTTAAAAAGTAGATGTATGGTGTTTTTAGTACGTGGGATGAAATCAACAAAATATAGGGTGCCAATAAAACAACCCTTATTTTAATTCATATAAATATTATTTTTTTCAAAATTGAAAAAAGAAACCCAGCTCGACACTCACCCCACCTATCTCTTTCCTTCCACAGAACCCAGAAACACCATCCCAACCCATTCTCTCTCGCCATGCCTGAATCCAGAACCACCAACCCATCATTTTCTCTCCCATTCCCTCTCGTATTCTCTCTCCATTTCTCCCTTTCACATTGCAACAGTGATCTCGTCGACTCTGCCATCACGAATACAGTGATTTCATTGTTGTCAATCTCTAGATCCAAACCAGCGTCATTGATGGCGCCAACTGATTCAGAGTCAAGAAGTTTATGTTCCTTGACTCCTCCTGCATTTACCCCAAATTCGCTCCTCAGCCCATTCTTGCTTGTTTGCTTAATTTGGTTTTCTTTTCTTCCTTTGATGTAAATCACATGGCTTTCTTTAATTTTCTTGGCTGGGCCATTTACAATTCAGAAATTGGGTTTGACTGCTTTTGCAAAAATGGTGGTTATGGGTTCATGTGTGGCACGAGAGAGATGGGTGGGGTGAGGGTCATGAGGTTGAATTTTTTTTTAAAATAATATTTTAAATGAATTAAAAGAATTTTAATAATTACATATTTTTATTAGTTGGCACAAGTTGGTTGCCACATCAGTAAAATATGGGCCCTGCATTTGCCACGTAATCATTTAATGGTCAATTTAACAGATTAATTAACGGATGTATGACATTGCAACAAATTCATAAATTAAGGTATGACATTGCAATGTTTAATACATGAGGTCTGAGATTGTGGTGGGACCAATAATTGAGTAGTTTTGTGTAATTTACCCTAAAGAAAATGATCAAGAATCCTTTTAGGACAAAGACCTTGGAGTCACGAGCTCATC